TGTATTTCATTTGTTATTCTCGGGATAGATATCTAGTTTTCGAATAATCACGACAAGCAATAGTTTTTTCGTCTCAAACAACGATATTGTTTACGTACATTTGATTGTCAAATCAAACACAATGTATTAGTATGGAGAGGAATAAATAATCGCTATTATTATTGTTGATATGCTCACTAACCTAACATTTTCCACGTCTTGTTCCTGTTATGTATAAGAAGTATACTCTAAGCTTTACAAATGTTAATGCAGCTTTAGCTATTGACGATCTTGAGGTTAACTGTCATTCGTCGGTCAGATGTCTTATCGTTATGGTGGCTGATGGTTCGATCATTGTACTGTTAATTCAATGAATAATTAAAGTGTTGGTACTCAGAGTATCTTGCTTTTGCTCGGCTTCGCTAGACGCTCCGCCTCGCAGAAGCAAAACTCGCTTGTCAAACAAAGTGTCACTTTTGATACTAATAAAACAATCTACTATTTTCGACAGGAATAGCCTCTAGTCAATTTACAGATAATTTTATATTGCATATTTTATTTTACCCTCGTTTATTTGACTCACTGTTTTTTTAAATGTACTATAATTACTGTATTGTATTGTTCTAATATTCTGTTTGTATATTTGAGGATGTTTCAATCCAATTTATTTCAATTTTACAATAGGTATGAACAACTTGACTTGTCCAACACCCTTACAGTGGCGGCTCCTCAGAGGAGGCAACGGAGGCTGAGCCTCCTCAGAGATTTTCCTTAAACTGATATTATCAATACTTTCTCATTAATAGGACACCAAAATACATGGATTTTTATTTTATTTCCTGTTTTTAGGTAAATATTTTTGAATTGGCAACAGTGCATGCCCACGCAGCACACGTTGAAGTCTGCAAATCACGCATAAAATATTCAACTTGGCAACATCTATAAGAGGATTGACTCCTTCACAATGCGCAATCCACGCGCGCAATGCAAATGCCCGAATAGCACGTGTTTGTCAGCATGTCAGCGTGTCGCGTCGCGAATTGCGGACAATCGAGCGCGAGTGCAATGTTTATGTTTATGTTAGGTTAATGGTTAGGGGCTCTATAAATTTCTGAAAAATGAGTGTTTTAAACGATTGCGATTTAGTGGAATACTTTTTGGTGAACACATTCGGTGCTTTATCTTATGAAGATAAATTGATTGTGAAAAACAAACGTCCGACACCGGAATAAAAAAATCTGATTGTAACAGTTAACAAACAAAATCGTTCGTTCAATTCTGATAATTATAAAAAATATATCTGGTTGACGGTATCTGAGGAAAAGAATACGCTATTTTGTTGGTACTGCGTATTATTTTCAACCGATAAGTCATCATGTTGGGGGCGATTAGGATATAATGATTTGAAGAATTTGCCTCGCGGATTTGATAGACACTGCAAATCACAGGAACACATCTCTTCAAGTATTGAGTTTAGGTTAACTGGTAAACAGAATGTCATTAACGCTATTGATTATGCTCGCGTAGGAGTTATTGAGAACCATAACTATGCAATTAAAGAAAATCCCAAACTTTGACAAAATTGATTGATTTCCTATTATTTTTTTCATCTCAAGACTTAGCTTTAAGAGGGCATGACGGAACTGCAGAGTCCTTTAATAAGGGGAATTTTAAAGAAATGGTAGAATTGTTTTGCAAATATGATAGTAAATTTCTTGCCGGGCAACAATTAGTTGTATTGATCATGTAGGCCAACTGCAGATTGGTAAATCAATTGGCTGAGTAGAGAGTTGTTTTTCACAATAAATCTCATATCATTCAGCCTCCTCTGTCATGAAAGTCACGAGCCGCCACTGCTCCCTTATAGTTGTGGTAATTTATGGATCAATAAAGTTTCCGAAAAGGAACATTCTCAGATATATTTATGAACACAAAAAAATGGATATACAGTGTGTCCCACTTACCATGCTCACCATGGGTATCTTTTTAACGGTAAGAGATACGAGGTCGGTTAAATGACACCAAATGTGTAGTTTGTCAAGGCCAACTATAATATGAAAAAATATGTTGATAAAATCTATTCGTTTTTGTTTTATACGCAAAAAACAGATTTTGATCATTTTCATGTCTCCTCCGTAACTTCTTCATTTATGAAAATATTCAAATAGGAATTCCACATTCTCATGGCAGTTTTTCAAAGTGATTTCGAAAAAAATATGAAATTCATACCAACTCTTCTAGAATTTGAGATTTCAGCGCCAACTTTAGTTTTTCAAATGCAGGTGATAGCTCACTATGACTTAGTTACAAATAACTTTTTTTTCTCTCACAGATGATATGTCGCAGAAATAGTTTTGTGTTGATAACAACGGAGTTATCGTCATTTATACAAAAACAAAAAATTATTCGGAAGCCGCCATCTTGAATTTATGAATTTTAACAAAAAAATCATGATCTCCGACCTCAAAAACCCCTACTTACCAATTTTGAATGGAATCGTACCAAATCTTGTCCGCCATCTTTTAGCAGCCATTTTTTTTTAATTTCAACATAAATTCCATAACTCCGATTAACTTGAAATTTGGCAGGTGTTCATAATTTCGGTGACAATACATTATGGAATTTTTGTTGACATTAAAAAAGATGGCTGCTCCAAGATGGCGGACAATATTTGGTCCGATTCCATTCAAAATTGGTAAGTGGGGGTTTTTGAGGTCGGAGATCATGATTTTCTTGTTAAAATTCATAAATTCAAGATGGCGGCTTCCGAATGATTTTTTGTTTTTGTATAAATGACGATAGCTCCGTTGTTATCAACACAAAATTATTACTGCGACATATCATCTGTAAGAGAAAAAAAAAATTATTTGTAACTAAGTCATAGTGAGCTATGACCTACATTTGAAAAACTGAAGTTGGTGCTGATATCTCAAATTCTAGAAGAGTTGGTATAAAGGACCCCGCACTAAACTATAGGGAAAATGGCTCTCGATGAAAATCGCTTAATTTTTGGTATGTTGCACACTTTTATATACTGAACAGATCTTCCATTGAACTAACCTCAAAAAATGGACAGTTTTTCCGATATTGACATCCAAATGTCATTGTTTCGAGAAAAAAAAGTATTTGAAAATGGTTGAATTTTTGGCAAGTTGTAGATAGGAATGAACTGATGAAAAAATCCAATTGACCTAACCTCCAAAAATTGACAGTTTTCTCGATATTGACCTCCAAATGTCATTTTTTCGAGAAAAAAGTGTCTGAAAATGGTTGAAATTTTTGGTATGTTGTAGATAGGAATGAACTGATGAAAAAATCCAATTGACCTAACCTCCAGATAGTTTTCTCGTCATTGACCTCCAAATGCAATTTTTTCAAGAAAAAAATTCTCTGGAAATGGCTGAATTTCTGGTATATGTTGTAGAAAGGAATGAACTGATGAAAAAATCCAATTGACCTAACCTCAAAATATTGACAGTTTTTGTTCACTGTCGCAGACCGTTCTCTCTTCAGATCTCTTTACATATGGTAAATAATTATTGAAATTCACGAAATTTCATAACATGAAAATTGTGGCACAACGCGTGATGACGTGATATACCGCGATCAATCCATTGCACTCATACTATACGATATGATTTATGTATTGTGTATACTTCAGTACACAACACTCCACTCCTACTGTGGAAATAAATCCTTAATTCTATGAAGAATTTGGAAATATTCTCATTGGTTGTTGAGCAATAAAAATCTGAAAGTGCTTATCGGTATCGGTATGTCAATGTCACGTCATCGGCGGCTATATAGTGTTGCTGAGAGGTGATTATTTTGATTATTTAAAAAAATATATTTGGGGTGTATCGAATTTTATAATAGATGGAATGATCAAAATAAAATAGATATATGGCATAAATTCGACTAGAGTGTATACCTACAACCCCATTGATTTCGGAAAGACTATAACCATCTTTCAAAATAATATTTATTTAATTACATCCCCTCTTCGGCTTTCTCCACCTGTGCATGTATCATATGAAGAAGATTTGTTTTGAGGAGAATGAAAGGCCAAACACTAATTAATTAAACAGCAACTTTGTCTATTGATTATTGTTTCATTTATCGTATTTTCCACACGTACACTTGGAGGTCAATATCGAAAAACTGTCAATTTTTTGAGGTTAGGTCAATTGAATTTTTTCATCAGTTCATTCCTATCTACAACATGCCAAATATTCAACCATTTTCAGATACTTTTTTTGGTAAAAAAAATGACATTTGGAGGTCTATATCGGAAAAACTGTCCATTGTTTGAGGTTCGTTCAATGGAATATCTGTTGAGTATATCAAAGGGAAAACATGAAAATGATCAAAATCTGTTTTTTGCGTATAAAACAAAAACGAATAGATTTTATCAAAATATTTTTTCACATTATAGTTGGCCTTGACAAACTCCACATTTGGTGTCATTTAACCGACCTCGTATCTCTCACCGTTAAAAAGATACCCATGGTGAGCATGGTAAGTGGGACACACTGTATATATAAAGAAATACATTGAGAATTCGCATTCTCCATGTGATGAAAATATCAATTCTTTCTCGGTTTATTTAACAGAAAACAACTACTTTCCTGGCTATATGCCACGACGAATATTGAATTACATCTATGGAACACACATGATAAGAATTTTGAAAACAGAATCTTCTGTTGAATAAACCGAGAAAGAATTAATATTTTCATCACATGGAGAATGCGAATTCTCAATGTATTTCTTTATATATATATATCCATTATTTTGTGTTCATAAATATATCTGAGAAATGTTCCTTTTCAATACTTTCACCCAATCGCGAGGTTCAAACTTGAACGATGGAAACTTGTTATTTTTATAGACCTCAATTGCAGCTTCGTGATAAGGATTTTCTCGATTCAGAATTTCTTTCCACGTCCTGTATGATGAATGTCAATTCATCATACATTTAAAAAATAAAGTTACCATTTCTATTTCTATTCTAAACCCACCTTGCTGCTGCGCCAGATGACTCTTCTGCGCCTGCTCCCTCTGCAGCTGCAAATGCTGCAGCCGGAACTGCCTGATCTGCACCTGTTGCTGCTGACCCTGCTCCCCGAACTGCCCGTTCCCGCCCACGCCCTGGTTGATCGGGCTCAGGCCGGGCGCTTGCTGGGCTTGCTGCCCGCCCTGCGCCAGTCCGGGCGGTTGGACGAGCGTGCCGGGCGTGATGTTCTGCTGCTGGATGTTGGGCGGCAGGACGATGCCCTGCTGCTTCGCCTGCTGCTGCAGCCATTGGACCTGCTGTTGAGTCGTCAGACCGGGCGGGACGTTTCCTAAGATCGAACGATAGATAGAGATGGATTACAACTGCCATAAAAAAGTCAGGAAACAACCTAAGGTCATTACATACAATTAGGAAGTATGCTGATAATGCATGCTTCTTAAAATATTTTAATGAATATAGGAGTATTTATAGGCAAATTATTAAAAGAGCTAAAGATAAATATTATGAAGAGAGAATCAGAACAGTCAACAATAAAACAAAAGAAAACTGGTCCATAGTTAATGATCTTAGAGGTAATAGTAAGGCAAATCCTATTAAAATTAACCTAGCTCCAGATGAACTCAATGATTTCTATTGTTCTATTGGCGAAAAACTGAAAGAGAACATAACAGCCAGTTGTGACCCCCTGGAATATCTAAATAATGTAAATGTTGCTGACAACTTCATTCTTACAGATACCGATGTGCATGAGCTTATACAGAAAATCAATGAAATTAAAAATAAAAATTCGGCGGGTATAGATGGAATATCTGTTAAAATATTTAAAAACCTACCTCTAAGTGCATTATATGTTTTGGTGGAATGCATTAATGAATCATTCAGGAGTGGCATATTTCCGACTTGTCTGAAAATAGCTATAGTAATTCCATTACATAAGGGTGGAGATCTGGAGGATCCCTCAAATTTCAGGCCCATCTCTTTATTATCGACCCTTTCAAAAATTATTGAAAGATTAGTGAAAAAAAGATTAATGTCCTTCTTATCGATAAACAATGTGCTATCTAGTCTTCAGTTCGGCTTTCAAAGTTCGAAAAGCACCACAGATGATATTTTCTCCTTTCTAGAGAATGCATACTCTAGCATAAATAGTGGCAGGGCTGTTGCAGCAGTGTTTTGTGATTTTTCGAAAGCCTTCGATTGCGTTGATCATAAAACACTGCTGCGGAAGCTCAGCCATTATGGTATAAGAGGAACAAATTTGACCTGGTTCGGGTCATATCTGTCAGGACGTCGCCAGGTTGTGAAAACATCAAGTGGACAGTCTGATCTAAGTGACATAAAACATGGAGTACCTCAGGGGTCTGTTTTAGGACCAATGTTGTTTTTAATTTATTTAAATGACCTAATAACCATTGACATCGCAGGACGATTCACTGTATTTGCCGACGATACCACTATTATATGGAGTCATAAAGAAATTAATCAGCTATCAAATATGATAAAAATAGATATTCAAAAAATTCAAACCTGGTGTAACGCGAATTCTTTATGCTTCAACCTAAACAAAACAGAGCTAGTTACTTTCAAATGTGTACTAGACGATTTAGAATTGAAGAACCGCTACATAGAAAACAAAGAGCACTCTAAATTCCTAGGCATTTATGTAGACAATAAATTGAATTTTAAAGAACATGTATTCCATTTGAGTAAAAAAGTTTCTAGTGGATGTTATGCAATTAGAGTAATATCAAATGAACTAGGGTATACTACGGCTAGAATAGCTTACTTTGCATTGATCGAATCTCATATTCACTATGGAATAGCTTTCTGGGGCCATTGTACACAGTTGCATAATACGATATTTGCTCTTCAGAAGAGGTCATTGAGATACCTTGCAAAGTCTGAATTCAGAGATCACTGCAAGCTTTTATTCATCAGCCACAAAATATTAACTGTCACCTGTTTATACATAATGGAAACAGTATGCTCAATTCATAAAAATAAAACTAGCATGTACACTCCCGGAACAAATTTTCATAGTACTAGACAGAACCATATGCTTCATCTACCCATTCCAAAATTTGCTTTGACTAAACATTCTCTGATTTATGAAAGTATTAAAGTATACAATCACCTTCCTACTAATCTAAAAAATATTACAGATATCAAAAAGTTCCGAAGTTCGATTAAAGATATATTAATCGAAAAGGCTTATTATTCAATCAATGAATTCTACTGTGATAACCTGGAAATTATTACTTGACTTTTCTGCAGATGTGAATGTATTTTATGTTTATTTCATTTAATTTAATTTTACCCATTTATTAATTGTTTTGTGACATGTGTTTTATATTGATATATACCTGATATTTTGTTTTTTTTATACAAGACTTTGTCAATAAGATACCAATCTTCCGACAATAAAGCAAATTTTGATTTGATTTTATGATTTGATTTGATTGAGTCTGAGATCCGACTGCAAGATTACTACGTTCTTCTGTTATTTAATGAAAATACAATTTTAATATATTCATGAATAGGAGAATATATTTTTACTGGGTTCCCTATCGAAATGTGGCCGCAAGTAGGACGTTACCTACCTAAGATCGAACGATAAATAGATAAAGATAGGAAGATATGGTCTAAGACCCGACTGCATGATTATTACGTTCATCTGTTATTTAATAATAATAAAATTATATTTTTACAGGGTTGCCTATCGACATGTACCAATGAAGGGAAGTGTCGTATTTCGTGCAAGATAATTTATTCAAATTTATTACTTGTAGCAGAGCGCTTTCGACTGTTAAGTCATCATCAGTGCATACTCGTCAGGTTATGGACAAATTTCCTTGTTAACCTGATTAGTATGCACTGATGATGACTTAACAGTCGAAAGCGCTCTGCTACGAGTAATAAATTTGAATGAATATATATTGGTATATATACACGTGCACACTGCTAAGTAACCCTCAATCTTATCGAAATGTGGCCGCAGGTATTTTCATTTAAAACTAGCAGACCTCGCAAACGTTGTTTTGCTATAATATACATTTTTTTTATTTATTTATTTATTTATTGAACGAATAACTTCCAGACAGAATAGGCTCTGGTATAAGGAAGTACCTACATAATTATATTCCTATAGGTAAACATAGCATCATTCAAAATATATCAACAACTGTAAATTGGCAAACAAAGAATAATATTTGTGGTGAAAATGATTAATTTTATCCAGTTCGTTCAGAAATAATCAGTTCTTTTACTTCATTTTTGAATGTGCCTATATTTATGTGATTTTTTATATTATCAGGTAGTTTATTGAATTCAGTTAGGGCTGAATGAGTGAATCTTTTTTGTCCGATTATAGAGCTAGCGGCGTCAAGATGAAACAAGTTGTCTAGTTTCATGATTATGAATTTCAGAATTGCATATCAAAATAATATACGACTTCAATTTTTTATTTATGATATTATATGATATTTTAAGAGTTTCAATTCTATATATTTCATCTAAAGAATATGTATTTGTTATTTCATACAATTGATTGGTTGGTGTACCAAATGGGAGACGATACAATACTTTTAACGATTTTCTATATAATGTTGATATTTTATTGAAATTATATTTTGAACAAGATCCCCAAACATTTATTACACAGTTGATAAGTACTCAGTATATGAGAGTAGAGAATCATGTTTGCCATTTTAATATCAAGTTTGGGACATCTTCTCAATGCACCAATAATAATAATATATTTTTTCAGTTCAATATTCATCAAGACACTATTATTATATCATTTTCTACTTCTTTTTAGTTTTGCTATCTATAAAAGCGTGTTTCTTTGGTTTTTCAAATTACCAGTTATTTCAACTTCTTTTTAGTTCACTTAAATTTCCCAATTTTGACGAAAGAATCATAATATCCGACGCCAAAAACCCCAGATGATAATTTTGAATAGAATCGGAACATAGTTACAAAATCGTCCGCAATATTAGATCTACCATCTTGAATTCCCTCTATTTGACACAGGAATCATAATTTTTGATCCCGAAAACGCCCACTTACAAATTTTGAATAGAATCGGCATATATGTGGAGAGCAGGGGTTAGCAAAAAGGGTCCATCGGGACCTACTTGCTTGGCTACAACCTCCCTACCTACTACTACTACGAACCCTACATCGTGATCGATCGACTCACCTCTAATCAGGATGTGACTCCCCCCACCCCCGCGCTGCTGCACCTGCTTGAGGAACTGCCGATGCCTTTGGATCTTCGCCACGAAGATGGCCTGCTGCTCGGGTGGCATCTTCTGCAGCTCTTGGTGCGTGCGCGCGTCCAGCTGGATGAACTGCCTCTGGGGAGGGGGGCCGGCGCCCTGTTGGCCGGTCGGGGACCACTGCACTCTCGGTGAACCTACCGAGAAATAGGGATGATGGTCAGAATAAAACAAAAGATAGACACTGCGTGAAATATATTCTTGAAGTAAACCAGTAAAATGAAATTAAACTGTCTTTGAAATTCTATATTATCTATATTTCAATGATTTTAGAATCAAACTGACATTGCCGTCATCTCAAAAATATACATAGGAACATAACATCATAATCGACGAATATAACTCAACATTGTGTTGAGTATATGTAGAAATTCCACTTGATTTGGCAACGTGGTACCAGAGCGACCCCGACCGATCGATTTGGACTGAGTAGGGTTGAGGGTTGAGAGAGAGTAGCGTTCCACACACTGTCAATATAACACGCATAAGATAGTTCACAGCCCACGTTAAGTACAATAAAGTTAAGTAAGCAAGTTCATCACGATAGATTATTTCACGTCCCTTAACAGGGTGGTCCTTCAAGCTAAAGTACATCCACGAACGAACATTAGTCCAATCGAACCGGATAGTGCCAGAAAGACAATTAATAAAAGTGTAATGCTCGATCAGTGAAATCAATCGCGCATCCCTCGATCACGAAAAAGGACAGTATATATAGTGTGCCGTCACGAAAACAAGTCGATTACAAGAAGTGCGATTCAAGTAGTCAAGTAGTCAATTTTCATATTGATAATCATTATCTGAAGCGAATGAATACACGGAAATACAAGTGAAACTCGAAATAAGTTGTCCCCATCTCAATCTCGAAGCATGTTCCTGTGAAGAAGATAACCAGACATCACCCAGATATAGCCGTTTCAAGGACAAGTCAGCACCCTCGATAGATTAGCCACCATAAAGCCACTCGAAAAACCGTAAGCACTTATTCCTGTTTATATTACCGTCCATTATCTATTTTTCCCAATAGGCAGTTCTTTTGACTGTAGGTCCACTTGTACACATCTGGTTACAGTTTAGCTTTCGAATACCTATAAATTTCATAGACCCTTTTGAATAATGTCGACCCCTGCAGAGGTTGAAATATTAGAGTTAAGAAAATCACGTGGGATATTGAAAGGTCAATTAACACGTTTTCAAAGTTATGTAAGATCAACAGATAGACAAAAAGACATTAGCGAGTTAGAAATTCGATTGAAAAAGGTTGAATCAGTTTTTGAGGAATTTGATAAGGTACAATCACGATTAGAGATATTAGATATTGAAGAAGACGTTCATCGAGTAGAGCAGGAAGACTTATTCTATGAGACAATAGCCAAAGCACAAACGTTAATAAAAAATGCAACGCAAGTTTCCGTTCAACCATCGAATTCGATTCAGAGCCAACCTACTACTACTCCTCCAATGAACTTGGATACATTATCGAATTTAAGATTACCTACTATTAGTTTACCAATATTTTCAGGAAGTTATGATGATTGGTTAACATTTCACGACACGTTCGAACAGCTAATTCATTCAAATGTTAATCTGACAGATATACAGAAGTATTATTACTTGAGGTCTTGCTTAAAACATGATGCTTGGAAGCTCGTTCAATCCTTAGAAATATCGGCTGATAATTATAAAATTGCATGGGATTTACTCGTAAAGAGATATCAAAACAAACGAGTAATTGTAAATAATCACATTAGATCTTTATTCGATCTTCCTTTTTTAACGAAAGACTCCGCAGCTTCATTGAGACAACTCACCGATAAGGTTCATCATCATCTAAGTGCCTTGGAAAAGTTGAAATTACCTACAAATCAATGGGATGTTATTTTAGTACATTTAATAACATCTAAACTAGATAATATTACTACCCGCGAATGGGAAAATTCATTGACTGATGACAAATTACCTACACATGAGGATCTCTCGAATTTTCTACACAAAAAATGTTTTATTTTAGAAACTATCTCGAATCATCGAATCGAAAACAAACACAGGTTAATCACAAACAAGTAACGAATCATCACTCGACAAATAATTATAAATTCGATTATGAATCACGTGTAAATACAAATGCGAACAATCTCAAAATGCAACGTAATCCTGAACACACATACGCAGTTACAGAAACCAATGACATTTCCTGCATGATTTGTGTCAGCACTATATATACCAGTGCTCAGAATTTATGAAATTAACACTAAATGAAAAATATGAACAAGTGAAAAGATTACGACTATGTGGTAACTGTCTCCGACCAGGTCATGCAAGATGGGACTGTAGGTCGAGTGGTTGCAAGCATTGTAATCGATATCACAATACATTATTACATGATAATACTTATTATCAATCAAGTAGACCGAATAATCAGAATAATCAACAAACATCATCGCATTCTTCAACCACCAACTCGCAAGTTAAGGTATCTCATAATCCTCAAATGAGTAATCTAGTATTAAATACACCACAGCAGGCAAACACGCAAGTTTTTTCGCAAATGCCCGTTCATTCAAATACACAAATTCATAATTTGAGCTCATCAAGTAACTCACAAACACAAGCACTCGTATCCAATGATGAAATCCAAGCGAACTATCACACAATAGATACAAACTTATCAAGTATACAAGCCGCACAAACATCTTCACATAACCTAGTTCTATTGTCCACGGTTCAAATTATTATTTATGATGTATTTGGCAATCCACATATCTGCAGAGCTCTACTAGACTCAGGTAGCCAGAGTAATCTTATAACTAGGGATTTATGTGAAATTTTACAATTAAAATATGAAGATTTTCATATACCTATTGCAGGTATCAATCAAAAGTTAACCAGTATTACTCAAAGAACAAGGGCAATTATTGCATCTCGATTCACATCCTTCAAGGTTGATATGACATTTTTAGTATTGGCTACAATAACACAAAATATTCCGACAGTTAGTTTTCAAAGTGATATACTCCAGTATCCAAATGACATAAACTTAGCCGATCCAGAGTTCAATATATCTCGGAGAATCGATGTTCTTATCGGAGCCAATATATTTTATGAGCTAATGTGCTCTCGACAACTTCATTTAGGTAAGAATTTACCAATTCTACAAGAGACTACTTTAGGATGGATATTTACCGGTTCAATTAACATAAACAGATTCACGAATTATAATTCAGTATGTCATTTTTCACATGAGATCACAAACGAGATGTTAGATGAATCATTATCAAAATTTTGGAAGTTAGAGGAAATACCGCAAACACGAATCATGTCAAAACACGAGCAATATTGTGAAGATTATTTCAGTCAAACGACAACACGAAACGCGGATGGAAGGTTTATAGTTAGATTGCCATTCAAATCAAATTTTCCGGATTTAGGAAACTCGTTAGTGGGAGCAAAAAGGCGCTTCAATTCCCTTGAGTATCGCTTCAAACGAGATAAAGAGTTGAAGAAAGATTACATGAACTTTCTTAGAGAATACGAAGCATTGAATCACATGACTCCACAAAAAATAGTTAACGAGATTATCGAACAACCCTCGTACGTATTACCGCATCACGCGGTCATAAAGGCATCGAGCAGCACCACGCGCTGCAGAGTGGTCTTCGATGGATCTGCAGAAACTAGTAATGGCACGTCATTGAATGATCATTTACTAGTAGGTCCTACTGTTCAAGATGATCTCTTTGCAATCGTAATGAGACTTAGACTACACCGTTATGTATTAAGCGCGGATGTAAAAATGATGTTTCGGCAGATCATAGTACACCCTGATGACCGAGGCTATCAGCAAATTGTATGGCGATATGATGATATCATGAAATTGATCCATTAAGATTATACATATACTCTTAATACCGTAACGTACGGAACAGCTTGCGCACCGTATCTAGCAACAAAATGCTTACAGCAGCTCTCGTTTAATTATGATAAAATTTATCCGCGTACATGTGAAATCATTCGAAATTCATTTTATATGGATGATTTACTCACAAGCTTAGACACGATAGAGGAAGTTTTAGTAGAATACAAGCAAATAACGGAAGTATTGAACAGTGCAGGTTTTCATCTGAGAAAATGGTGTTCAAATGAAACCGAAATTTTGAAGGCAATCTTAGGTAATAATAGCAATGTAGATAATTTGATACAGTTAAACGAGAACAAGATTTTGAAAACCTTAGGTATAGCGTGGAATCCGAACACGGATACTCTAAACTACTGCATAAATATGTATGTAAATAACTCGAACCCAACAAAAAGAACCATTTTAGCAGCAATTGCACGGATTTTTGACCCGCTTGGACTGATCGGTCCAGCTACAATCAGAGCAAAAATTTACATGCAACAACTCTGGCAACGAGGAATTTCTTGGGACGAACCCTTACCTGAGGATATATGTGAGCAATGGAAATCCTTTAGTAGCCAAAGTCACTCGTTGAATAGCCTAAGTATCAATCGCCACGTAATTTGTAAAAACCCGATCACAATAGAGTTGCATGGATTTAGTGATGCCTCTGAACGAGTTTATGGCGCATGTATATATTTAGTTTCTAAGAATTTTGAAAATAAGATTTATTCACGACTTCTGTGTGCCAAGTCAAGAGTTGCACCACAGAAAAAATGTACCTTACCTCGTTTAGAATTATTAGCTGCATATTTACTAGCAAATTTGACTCACACAGTTAAGCAAATCCTTGATGTACATATTTCCAGAACAGTTTATTATTGCGATTCGACGATAGTATTAGGATGGTTAAATCATGCACCCAACGAATTAAAAACGTTCGTTGCTAATCGTGTAACAAAAATTATCGAATTAACCGACGTTGAAGACTGGAAACATGTTCCTTCTGAAGATAATGCGGCAGATGTTATTTCAAGAGGGATTAGCCCGAACGAATTAGCGAATTTATCGATGTGGTGGTTTGGTCCGCAATTTTTATGTGACACGAACGCAAACCTCAAAGGCTACGACGTCGATATGATACAAGATTTACCCGAAATAAAACTTTCTACAATTACCTTAGCGAACACGGTAACATATAATTTGGATATTTTCAATAAATACTCTGCTCTTAGAAAACTT